CAGCGGTCGAGGTGGCAATTGTCGAGGTCTCAGCTGAAGATGTCGGAACTGTAGTAGTCTCAGCGTTCGAGGTGGCAATTGTCGAGGTCTCAGCTGAAGATGTCGGGACTGTAGTAGTCTCAGCGGTCGAGGTGGCAATTGTCGAGGTCTCAGCTGAAGATGTCGGAACTGTTGTAGTCTCAGCGGTCGAGGTGGCAATTGTCGAGGTTTCAGCTGAAGATGTCGGAACTGTAGTAGTCTCAGCGGTCGAGGTGGCAATTGTCGAGGTTTCAGCTGAAGATGTCGGAACTGTACTAGTCTCAGCGGTCGAGGTGGCGATTGTCGAGGTCTCAGCTGAAGATGTCGGGACTGTAGTAGTCTCAGCGTTCGAGGTGGCAATTGTCGAGGTTTCAGCTGAAGATGTCGGAACTGTACTAGTCTCAGCGGTCGAGGTGGCAATTGTCGAGGTCTCAGCTGAAGATGTCGGAACTGTAGTAGTCTCAGCGGTCGAGGTGGCAATTGTCGAGGTCTCAGCTGAAGATGTCGGAACTGTACTAGTCTCAGCGGTCGAGGTGGCGATTGTCGAGGTCTCAGCTGAAGATGTCGTAACAGTACTAGTCTCAGCGGTCGAGGTGGCGATTGTCGAGGTCTCAGCTGAAGATGTCGGAACTGTACTAGTCTCAGCGGTCGAGGTGGCGATTGTCGAGGTCTCAGCTGAAGATGTCGGAACTGTACTAGTCTCAGCGGTCGAGGTGGCAGTCGTCGTCGTCTCGGCTGTCGAGGTCTCAGGTGAAGATGTCGGAACAGTGGTGGTTGGCACAGTTGTTGTCGGAATCGTTGTTGTTTCTATTGTAGTTGTCACTGTAGTCGATGTTTCTGTTGTTGTAGTGGGAGTTGTTGTGACAGTTGTTGTTGTAGGAATTTGTGTTTCCACTAAAATAATTCCATCATTTATCATCTGAGTGTTCTTTTAATGCAAACCTGCGCAAACAAAACTGTCGGGTTCCATCACCTCGCCCGGTGTGGATGCTCCCCAGCCATATTCAAGACATGGGAGCTGGGCTTCAATTACGTTGACGTCTGAGTTTCCTTCTCCCAACTGAAATGTTATCTAAATTTTTTAGTAGAAGATTGGCACTTACTGTTTGAGACCCGCCTTCTTTAGTATTGTATTCGAACATCACCCAATCTCCACCAACGCATGTGAGATCTGCAACCATGCAGCCAGCAGCATTGGTACTGTACGAAATGTAAAAATTGGTAGATGGCTCGAGTATGGGCGAGTATGGAGATTCTGTGGCTTGTTCTAGCGTACCACATGTGTTCGTGCAGCCAGCTTGTCTCTGTAAAATTAGATTGTTTTCTGTTTTTTCACCTTTTAGCTCACTTTTCTTCTAACATAGCTGGGTGGAGTTGTAGCGTTGAATGGGTTCACTAGGAACGATGACAATTGTTGCTTTCTCTGCAAATTAATTTAGAGGGGACCAAGTCAATCAATTTCTCACATTTCTAGCAGCCAGAGCATGACGAAGGTTAGTTTTGGGATCACTGCTCTCGGGTATCACAAGTGCTGCTGATAATGCCAACGCTGCTGCGAAAAGCAGTAATGCTCGAACGAGCATTTTTGGGTGACCCCTGAAGATTGGAGAATTAAATGGACAGACCAAATTGATAATCAAGAAGAATTCTTTCTATTCTGGATTATATTCCAGTCAAATTTCATAAAAATTAGCTAAAATGAATTAGGAATTGTTATCCCTCTGAACTTCGTAAAACGAAATTTGGAATACTTGAAGAATAAGTTTGAAATGGCTCTTGAAACATTTTTCGCCCATCTCTATATAGTTTATCATAACAATTGATTTTGTTATGATGGTTGGCGTCGTGAGAACCAGCTCGCTATTCATCGAGATGTTAGTCTTTTAATTTTCTTTTGTTATCGTTTCTTTTTTTTCGAAAATTTGCCAACCATCTTTAGCCAATGATCCTGTTTTCTGGAATATTCTTTTCGTGTTCAGTTTGGTCGGTGAAAAAATCGAAAGTTCAAAATGGGTTCGAAATGCTGTTCTAGATCGTCTCGTCACGTAACTATGGAACCTCTACACATCTTAAGCCAGATTTTGATGAAAATTTCCGAACAAATGAAGACTTGTCTATCTAGACATCTCTGAAAATTTTAGAATCCGCCCTCCAGCTTCAGCCGACTTACATCAGTTCCAGTGCCGAAAAATTGCCTTTTCAACGTCGAACAGCAGTTTTTGAAAACGATTTTCTCAATTTCCAGAAGGTTCCAGAACATGAATTTTTATGTGTAATACTCAAAATTGAATAAAAATTCATATTTCAGACATTTGCTCCAAAAAAAAATTTTCGATTTTTTCCCACGATTTTCCAGGTTTATCGAAAATTTAAAAAAAGTAATTTACTTTTCCGAACATACTTGAAAAACATACAGAAGTTTTTTTCAAACATTTATCTAAAATTAGTCTGAACGAAAATTGAAATTTGTACCAAAAATTAATTCAGTCTGTCATTTCATCTCTTCTTGATAATTTGCTGGATGAAGATGGAATTGGGAGTGTGGAGAACACACACACGATTTGTTACATGAGCTGGCTGCAAGCAAAGCGAACATATTTTCCAATCTGTGTATTGGCTCTCATATTCCATGGGATCTGCAAATGCCGTTAGTGGCGGATCGGTCTTAATTCAGAACAGTTCAGCTATATAAAAATAAATTTTGAAGCTAACATCTCCACTGATACTACAATTGATCAAAACTCAAAAGTGTGCTTTTGGATGACACGAATAGCGTTTCAATGTATGGGCTCAAGCTTACAACCATGATGGTTGTGGATAATAATGTCAAAAGCGGGATCGCCGGTGACAAAATGACAAAAGCGAGATCGCCGTATTTTGAGCAACTTAAGGATATTTCTCAATTTCAGGCGATAAATGGAATATTGACTCCAGTTTGTGAAATCACACTCAAATCTGTGAATTCACACTCCAGTTTGTGAATTCACACTTCAGTTTGTGAAATCACACTCAAATTTGTGAATTAAACCATAATGAGCTGAACTTTTTCAAGGGTACCTTTGATATTTTGCGAATCCAAATCGAGAAGAATTTTTGAACATATTCTCCAGGGACCGCTGAAATTACGTAGATCCCATTTTTCTCAATAGTAAAATATCTGAAGACGTTTTCGCTTCTATCTCATGAACGAAAAAACACTTTTTTTTGATCGACCAATTTTTCAGATCCGATCCGAGCGTGCCATTCAAAATAATTCGCAAAGTTCTTAGAAATTTAACTGTATCGTCTTTATGCAATACCAATCCATTTCAAACAGTTTGATTTTTTGTTCAGCGGGTTTCTCGAAAATCATTATATACTGTACGGTATTCATATATTCGATTTTTAGACGTGTGACCAAGAATTGTGAAATGCAATTGATGAATCGTACCACCTGCCAATTGGTTTAATTGTGTTTTCGTCTTTATCTTGTCACATTCATGTCAAAATGTTACCAAACACAATTTCGATTATTGCCCGCTAGTTACTTATCTGATGACGTAGACAATACCCAATGAGTGTTGAAAGGACGGCGGAGATTCCCACAAGAAAGGCCAGTCAGATGCAGGTGTGAAGGGCTAGAAAATTGATATTGTTGTTCAATGTTTGTGAAGCAGGCTTGCGTCGGAAATGGGCTAGGCGGTCTCGTCGGTCAGTGTTCCACGGTTCACTGGAAGGCAGCATCACTAGAATAGGGCTCGCCACTCATGTTGAGGATCAGACTGCGAACAATGGGTTTTAAAGGCGACCCATTTGTAAATAAACCTTTTTCCCTTTCTATGTACTAAGCATCTACATACGTGGCGAAAGAGATCAATAAACTACATTTGTCTGGCTAATCCACTCTACTCAAAACCCTAAGGCTTTTAGCTATCAAAATCACGCGTAAAAGTGCTAAGCCAGATTTTTGATTTAGGCCCTAGTTTGGTAGAAAAAATCAGAAAAGCTGAAAAAAGGAGAAGAAACCCGACCCACTCGTACGGTTTTCAATCATATCTTTGTTGAAATGGTTCAAATTTTGATTTTTGGTAACCGCATCGCCAGAGTGATTTTTTTCCGATCAAGAAAGGGATCATCGAAAACGGGCTGAAATAACCTACCGTAAAACCTGTATTAGAAGGGCCCCTGAAATTGAGGGACCCCTCTAATTGAATTGCTCCCCTAAAGATCTCATGAAAAATAAAAGTACCCCCTCTAATTGAAGTGCCCCTTTGACTAACTTTTTTGTTTTTCAGCCGTTTTTTCTGTTATTTTGATTGAATTACTGTAGGATTAAAAAAAATACTGGCACCTGAGAATTTGAATGCCGTTGCTCTAATACACTTTTTCGTTCGAGCAATTTTCGCAAACAAGCTTGGAGTTTTCCTTTAAAAAAATTCCAGAAATTCTGATACAATAGCGGATTTGAAGACGAGGCCTCGTAAATTGACAAGAACGGCGCCCGAAAAATTTTCAAGTGCCAGTTTTTAAAATTCGACAATATTGGTGTTTTTGCTGTTTTCATGTAGTAATTGTAATGGACTTTTAGTAGAAAAACAAAATTTTCACTGAAAAATGATGCCCGTCCAATAGAAGATCCCTTCTCGAAGGACTTGTGCCCCCTCTAATTGAAGTGCTCGCCTAGGGACTCAATGAAAAATAGAAGGGCTAGCCCTTCTAATACAGGATTTACGGTAGTTAGGATTTTTCTAAGACAATTTCTACATAATGTCCTGACATTTTTCATAAAAGTCTGGGTTAAAGAGGTGTTGAGAATCCCTTGTGAGTGCACTGTATGTCTTCAAAAAGAAAACCAAATTTTATAGGATCCGATGGATTGTACAGATACAATAAGCCTAAAAGTGTGTTTCTACATACAAAAAAAAAAAAAACAAAAAGTGGTTTTAAAATGCAATCTTCATGTTCAAACACTAGATGGTGAAGTTTGATACCGGGGGTGGCTATTCATGACACGTGGTTCTACATTATTAATTAAGCACAAGCGAATGCTTTTCCGACGATCTTCTTCTTGTACGGAGCGCAGCACGATGTTCTTGGGAAGAGGCAGACCGAGTTGGCGCATGCTTGGGATCCAGTGTACGCACCGCTGAAAGAAGTTTCCATATTTTGAGAATAGAGAACTCTGAGGTTCTAGTACCTGCATTGACAACCAGATGGGAAGCAGTAGCGTTGGGTTGGAATCACTCCACAGTTTCCACAAGTGTCATTACAAACGGCTCCATCGATTTGAGCCCATTCAGTCCAAGTTCCTGCGCATGTTTCTGGCTACAAAAGTTTTTCGTAGTCGTTAGATTTTTTGGAATATGTGTTCCTACCGTACTATCCTGACAATATTGCGCACCATCGTATCCGGTGGCCACGAACTTTCCAGCGCAGCATTGTGAGCCAGTTGTGCAAACTTGTTTGCCGCATGATTGAGTTTCCAGCGAGTCTCCTCTGCAAAAAATGTTTCAATTTTTTGTTTAAAGAGTACACATACGTGCACGGGCATCCGTATGGTGCAGAAGCGCAGGTGCGATTTCTGCTCTGTGTTCCACAACCTCCGCATGTTGCACTGCATGTCGACCATGATCCCCAATCGTTCCAAAGTCCGGTCTTTTCTGCAGCGGGCGATTACTGTAACTTTCCGAAACAAAGAGTATACCTGGATCACAGCAAGTTGTTTGCTCTGGATTGAAAGCTGGAACCACTGGAAGCGGTCCACAGTAGAAGGTACGGGCGGTGATATTGACCATTTTCTTGAATCCAGCACAGCAAGAAGTTCTTGGGAATAGACAGACACTTGACGCACAGACGCTGGTATCAGTATCATCTCCACTGTAATATTTTATTATTTTCGGAAAATGTTCTTAGGAGATACAAAAAGATCAAAAAACATACGTGCAGGCACATCCATACTGTAGCGAGAGACACTTTCTCTTACGAGTCTCTGTTCCACATGATCCGCAAGTATCGTTACATCCGGCAGTGCTCACCCACTCTCCCCAGATTCCGGCAGATGGACAGCAAGTGACGCCACAAGTGTTCAGCTTGTCTGGATCGGCGACAGCGGTGGTCAATGGTCCACAAATGTGATTGCTTCCTTCAACGGTGGCAGTGAATCCTGGGCAGCAACTCAATCTTGGGAAATAGCAAACACCAGTTCCACATGGCTCAGTGATCGTAGTTTCTCCTCTGGAAAACTTTTTCAATGGAAAAAATATCTAAAAAATTAGTTCGTACTGGCAAGGACATCCATCAGCTTCGGAGGTACAGGTTCTGGTTCTTGTCTGGTTTCCGCATGATCCACAGTAATCTCTGCATTGGGCTGGTGATAGTGTCCATTCAGACCAGATTCCAGTCTCTGGACAGCAATCGTCAGTACATGTTGGGTCGTATGGAGCGTATGGAGTAGTGTAGTTCGGCTCAAAAAATAGGATATTTGGGGAATTCAAAAAAACTTTTTTTTTTGAATTTAGCTGCTTACCTGTGGTCCACAAACGTGTTGAGTTCCAACAACGGTTGCCGAGTATCCAGCGCAGCAAGAGTCATCTGGGAAGTAGCAAACACCGATTCCGCAGTTCACAGCTCGAGATGAGACTCCTCTGTAACAGGAATTTATACTTCCTTATTTTTAAGACTGGTCAAAGGAGACATATAGAAACTAAATAGCACTCACTGGCATGGACAAGTTGACGGAGAGAGACAGACACGATTCTGAGTCGTTGTTGAGCAAGATCCACAAGTTGTTGGGCACGCGGCACCAGTTGTCCATTCAGACCAGTATCCTCCAGCAGCTGGGCAGCAGTCGGTAGCACAAAGTGTCGATGGTGTTGGATCAGAGTCATCCGCTGACGAGCACTGGAACGTTCTTCCAACAATGACTTTCTTTCTAGCTCCACAACATGTTGTTCTTGGGAATGGACATGGCGCAGGAGCACATTCGGCTTCTTTCGTGGTGCTTCCACTGAAGAAGTCAGTTTTTGAAGTTACGCTCTGATTAAAAATGAATAATACCTGCATTCACAGTTGTAGTCATTCGACAGACAAACTCTTGACAGTGTCGTTGTTCCACAGTTTCCGCAAGTGTCATTACAAGCGTCTCCAGATGACCATTCTGACCAGACTCCTCCCAACACACAGCAGGTTGGAGTATCGGTAGTACATGGAACTGGATCGGTTTCAACTTCGGCGTCCGGCTGGAAATATTGTTTTGTAGAAGAACACATCTCAATTTTAATTGGCACATAATTCGGAGGGTACAATAATTCGAGGGGTACAGAGTTTGGATTTTTTCAGGAATTTTGCACCCCCGAATCGAGGTTTTTGTAACCCTAAATTGCTTTGTACCCTAATGACCCTTTAACTTTTGTACCCTCCGAATTATTTGCCGTTTTAATTTACCAATGGTCCACAAATAGCGACTCCATTGACTGTGGTTGATGTCAAGCTGTTACAACAGACAGTGGTCGAAGAGCAAGGAGCCAGATTACAGTACTCGGTCTTTGTAGCTTCTCCCCTGTGAAAAACATGGTCACATACAGTACTTTTCAGTGCTGGTCAGTAGATTTTTGGCATTGTCAGGAGTCTGGCGCTCGGCTGTCAAGTGTCCGATCACTTTGGAAATTTTTGAGGATGTAAAACAAACCTAGATTGAAAACTTTGGATTTATAGACTTTTTTGAAATTTTCTAGTTTTTCAATTATTTGCCGATTTCTGAAGGACGCCTCTTTTTTTTTAATTTTTTGCAGGTTTTTAGTACAAAAACAGGAAAAATGGGGTGTCCTTCAGAAATAGGCGAATAGCTCAAAAAATAGGAGTTTTCGAAATACTCTGGAAGTGCAAAGTTTTTCTTCTAGACTTGTGCTCTGATCTCCGGAATTTTCAAAGTGATTGGACACTTGACAACCGAGTTCCAGACTATTGAAAATTGTTAAAATTTAAGAATAAAAAATCAACTGAAATACGCATTTTTAATCTTATTGATTGATACTGTAGGTTACTGTAACTTACATGCAGAAACATCCGCTGGTCTTCTGGCAAGTTCTAGTGAAGGTTTGGGTTTGGCATGCACCACAAGATGTTTGGTTGCATGTGTCAGTTGTCTGAAAAAAGAAATTTCGAGATCCCATACATCTTAAAATTGTGTACCGTCCATTCCGACCAGGTGGAGAGGGTTCTGCAGAATTCCGATTCGGTAGTATCTCCACTACAAGAGCAGTAGGATTCAGAGGCGCAGACTCTTGTTCTGGTGCGAGATCCATCGCAGTTTCCACAGGTGGTTCCAGTGCATGCTGACCATTCGGTCCATGCTCCCCAGATTCCTTCCAGAGGACAGCAAGTTTCGTCATTGGCGGCTGGCATGGTAGTGTTGGGCTGGAAAATTGGATTATGAAAATTATCTGGGAACTGTCTCAATGTCTAATGGACTGTCTAATCTCTGTCTAGTGAATGTCTGAACCAAATGTCCAATTTATTAAACTATACCTGAGGTCCACAGATATGTAGAGTTCCGGAAACAGTAGCCTTGTATCCAGCGCAGCATGAATCCAGAGGGAAGTAACAGACGCCGACGTTACAGTTTTCAACTTTGACGTCCACTCCGCTGAAAACGTACAATAATAGAAAAAAGTTACACTTCAGACTTACGTGCAATCACCACAATCTGCTTGGGTGAGGCACACACGACGATAGATTTGTTGAGAGCATGATCCACAAGAAGTAGCACATGGAGCATCAGCCGCCCAATCGCTCCAGTATCCTCCAGTTGGACAACAGGCGGTTCTGGGAACAGTTGTGGAAGAGTCTGTTGAAGTACTCGTGGACTCGGTCGAGGTACTCGTGGACTCGGTCGAGGTACTCGTGGACTCTGTCGAGGTGGAGGTGGATTCAGTCGAGGTACTCGTGGACTCGGTCGAGGTGGAGGTGGATTCAGTCGAGGTACTCGTGGACTCGGTCGATGTGGAGGTGGACTCGGTGGAGGTACTCGTGGACTCGGTCGATGTGGAGGTGGATTCAGTCGAGGTACTCGTGGACTCGGTCGAGGTACTCGTGGACTCAGTCGAGGTGGAGGTGGATTCAGTCGAGGTACTCGTGGACTCGGTCGAGGTACTGGTTGACTCTGTCGAGGTGGAGGTGGATTCAGTCGAGGTACTCGTGGACTCAGTCGATGTGGAGGTGGATTCAGTCGAGGTACTCGTGGACTCAGTCGAAGTGGAAGTGGATTCAGTCGAGGTACTCGTGGACTCGGTCGATGTGCAGGTGGATTCAGTCGAGGTACTCGTGGACTCGGTCGAGGTGCAGGTGGATTCAGTCGAGGTACTCGTGGACTCGGTCGAGGTGCAGGTGGATTCAGTCGAGGTACTCGTGGACTCGGTCGAGGTGCAGGTGGATTCAGTCGAGGTACTCGTGGACTCGGTCGAGGTGCAGGTGGATTCAGTCGAGGTACTCGTGGACTCGGTCGAGGTGCAGGTGGATTCAGTCGAGGTACTCGTGGACTCGGTCGAGGTACTCGTGGACTCGGTCGAGGTGGAGGTGGATTCAGTCGATGTACTCGTGGACTCGGTCGAGGTGGAGGTGGATTCAGTCGAGGTACTCGTGGACTCGGTCGATGTGGAGGTGGATTCAGTCGAGGTACTCGTGGACTCGGTCGAGGTGGAGGTGGATTCAGTCGAGGTACTCGTGGACTCGGTCGAGGTGGAGGTGGATTCAGTCGAGGTACTCGTGGACTCGGTCGAGGTGGAGGTGGATTCAGTCGAGGTACTCGTGGACTCGGTCGATGTGGAGGTGGATTCAGTCGAGGTACTCGTGGACTCGGTCGAGGTACTCGTGGACTCGGTCGAGGTGGAGGTGGATTCAGTCGAGGTACTCGTGGACTCGGTCGAGGTGGAGGTGGATTCAGTCGAGGTACTCGTGGACTCGGTCGAGGTGGAGGTGGATTCAGTCGAGGTACTCGTGGACTCGGTCGAGGTGGAGGTGGATTCAGTCGAGGTACTCGTGGACTCGGTCGAGGTACTCGTGGACTCGGTCGAGGTGGAGGTGGAT